ATAAAAATATATAATAAAATAATATAAATAATATAAAATAATATATAATAAAATAATATAAATAATATAAAATAATATATAATAAAATAATATAAACTTATATAACATAAATATAAGTTTACAAAAATAATAATTATGGTGGTCCCGTCACCTGGTCGATCCAGGTGAATTCGTGTGAAGGTGAACCACGTTGATAGGTGCACCTTCTACGCCACTGAGACACGTTCTTTCAGTGGATCGGCATGGCTGCCTTGTCGGTCGCGACGCAGGCACAGTCGTTGTTGGCCCGTGAGCGGTATCGTTGTCGAATCGAACACCGTTTTGCACCGACGTCTCGATCCTCGTGTTTCATCGAACAGAAAAGTGACCGTTCGATTCGCGGCCCGGCGGGGACCAATCGGAGAAACATCGGCCGAAGGATGCGCGAGAGACGATCGCGACGTGCGAACACCAGATGTTCTTGTAAATGAATTTTGTTTCAAATTTTGTTGCCAGTGAGAACCGAATATGTACCGAGTTTAATTGGCACACAGTCGATTGCCGTGTTCGATTGCCAAATTCAAAAATCGTTTCCAAAAATCCAGTCGAAATGGTTCACGTTACATCGGCGAAAGCGATCTATATTTAAAACGGACACAATCGTTTTATGCATTCCAAAGTAGAACAATTTCATCGATCATTGTATTCGCGTACGAATGTTGCTCCAGTTTCACCAAATTTGCGGCGTATCCGCTGTATCGTCGCGCCGAAGCTACAAAGATGGGTAAAAAAGGCCCGAGAATTAGTCTACGCCGAGAGTTAGTCTCGGTTCTCCTGTGTTTCGCGTCGTAAACGACAAGTGAAATCTCTAGAAGCCGCTTGTGATTTGGAAAATTCGTCCGAGTTCTTCTTCGTTCTCGATAGACACCGATCCTCGTCGCGGAAAGATGAACTCCGGCTGGAATTTGAGAGAAGCAACTCTGTGCCGTATTCGGAATTGGTGATTTCACGCGAGTGATCGGTCGCCGGGCACCGCGAACCTGCGGAATCGTGCACGAAGTGGGTACAGCAAACACTACGGGACCAGTTACTGATGTGTACGAGGAACAACCGATCCGCGAGAGCAAGCCGGATGATAGCGACGGAACTGACTCTGTCAACGTGCTCGAGGATCGTCGCCCGTTTTCGGAAGATCGAAGGGGACCAGGGTTTAACGTGTTGTCGGTCGATGCAGAGCGATGTTCGCCAGATCGGCCATCCTTGTCGCGGCGCTCTGCCTCTGGACCACCGTCGGTAAGATGTCTTCTTTTTTCGTCGTCGTTCGCCGAGCGTCGTTTTCGAGCAGATTTCGCTGACGAGAATTGTCCACGATGTACCACTTTAATATGTGTTACATTTTCTACTTCGTACCGATTTGCATGCGGCTTAGTTACATATTGGGTACCGTAACTCGGCATCCAAGTGGAATCGCCGTATTTTCTGGGACACACTCCGTGGAAATATATTCTTTCGAGAACTCGCAATTCCACCGAAAATGTCTTTCTTCCCACTTGTTGGTATATACAACGATACTCACACACATATACACACACACACATGTCTACATAGGGGCAATAAATAAAGGTGCAAGCCCGAGCTTCGTAAATGCAGGTGCAAGCTCGAGCTTCTCGGGGAAACGGGTACACATTAGGACTCTCATTTACCTGGAATTTACCTGAAGGATTAGTATAAAAGGACTGCACGTTCCATTGCGAGACACTTCCCATAGAACTACAGAGGCGTTCATCAGCCTAGAAGACGATCAGTCAGACAGTATCACCGTGACTTCGCGTACAGTTACTCTTCTTCGCGTAAAGTACATTTTATATAAGCTAGGTGCTTTTTTAATCACTGTATTACATTTGTATTGCATTATTAGCAAATAAAAAATTAGAAATTCTTCGTTATGATCAATATTTTACGGACGTGAATAATGTTTAGAATCGAAGTGTCTTTACCATTTCTGTTGACTCGCACAATTTTATCTTCTTTTTTCATTTGTAGTATTTATGAATAATATTATTAATATCATAATATTATAGTAATATTATGTATTATATAATAATATTATAATATTATAGTAATATTATGTATTATATAATAATATTATAATATTATAGTAATATTATGTATCATATAATAATATTATAATATTATAGTAATATTATGTATCATATAATAATATTATAATATTATAGTAATATTATGTATCATATAATAATATTATAATATTNATATAATAGCTTCGATAATTTTATTCTATTATTATTTTATTTATTCCTCTGAAATGAATGAAATGATAATTGAATGTCTGGAGTGCATTAAACAAGAAAAACAAAGCAATACAATATCATAAATAAGAAAAGCTTCGAGAAGGTTTTACAAAAAAGATAACGATACCTGAATTTTGTGAAAATATACAATTTTGTGTCTGTTTCTGTGGTACAGTTTCATGTTTATTCGTGTTTAATTACTGTTATTTTCACTCGTTTCTGTTGTATTTGTTTTATTAAACGAAAAAAGCAGCACAATATCATAAATAAGAAAAGTTTCGAGAAGGTTTTACAAAAAAGATAACGATACTTGAATTTTGTGAAAATTTACAATTGTGTACCTGCTTCTGTGCAGAGATTCGTGTTTGTTCGCGTTTGATTACTTTTCTTTTCATTCGTTTCTCTCGCATTTGCTTTATTAATCGCATTCCCCTTTCTTTCTAATAATTCACAACGAGGAGTATTGAAGACACGAGAAAGAACATCAGTCGGAAATCGCGAAATTCGAAGCACATTTCACTGCACAAGCGTTCAATCGTATTTGTGTTTACTGTAGCCGTGCTCTTGTAGCCTATACTTTCTAATATATCCCGGAGAAAGCGTCGAGGCGACTTCTTCCGATGCACGGATTCGGACAACCGTGAAACCAGACTGTAGATAGTTTGAAAATTCCGAAATGGAAGAATAACTTCTGGAACAATCCGTCGTTCGATCTGCTTCATGATCAACATCGCTCCAACCTGATTAGTTTTTCCCACATTTGGATCGATATTTAATTACATCCTTACCATTTTTTAAATAAATTTTGTTCTTATCACTTGTGAATTATTGTTCGAGCATATACGTTAAAAATATCATCAATTGGTTATTATTATTGTTATCGTTACGATCAATATTTTATGGACATGAATAATGTTTAGAATCAAAGTGTCTTTATCATTTCTNGCAAATAAAAAATTAGAAATTCTTCGTTATGATCAATATTTTACGGACGTGAATAATGTTTAGAATCGAAGTGTCTTTACCATTTCTGTTGACTCGCACAATTTTATCTTCTTTTTTCATTTGTAGTATTTATGAATAATATTATTAATATTATTATAATAATATTATTAATATAATATTAATATATATATTATTAATATTATTAATATAATATTAATATATATATTATTAATATTATTATTATAATATTAATAATATTATTCATAAATACTACAAATTTAAAAAAAAGATAAA